GGTCGTGGGTATGAAGTCGTGGGTTCCAATTTTTTTCCAAATTTATCATTTATAAATTTAAATTTATCACTATACTTCCAAAACAAGATCGTGTGGCTTTGTTCCTATAAATTCGGTGTAATTGTGGGTTGTGCAAGGTAGTCTATGTCTGATTTGCGTGACAGTGTTTTAAAATACACCAAAATTGGGGGCCTGGAAAACCTTTTAGCACTTTCTTACATTTCATTTAAGTATATTGGCCTTGCTGTTTAAACATAAATTTAGCGAAGAAAAAAAAAAAGAAGAAAAAACAAACGAACAAACAAAAACCACTAGTCGTCTACCTTGTTCGCTTAAACGAGGAGTCTTCAATGGACTTTATCCGGATGTTACCTAGAAACTGGAGCGACAAGCCGCGCGCTGCAAACGTGTGAAGTCGATGGACAGCAAATTCGCGTTTAGTTCGGCATTACGTTTCTCCTCGTTCTATGTGTTKCGTTGCGAGAAAGCTTGTTTCACTATTCCTTAGTAGCTCTCTTTGTGTTAATATGGAAATCCTGAGTAAACGACTTGAAAGTGCGGGGTTTACCGTTACCTACGACTCCAAGGTTGATGAGGACTGCTTTTATGCAGCGGCAGCGTATCAGTTGGGCTTAAATACCAAGAAGGTCAAAGAAGTTATATTCAGTAACTTAGAAAAGAACCGATTTGATGTAAGTATAATCAAAACGATGTTTTTTTCTTGATTTTGCGSGTCCATACCTACCCTGGGCTCCAGAGATTCTATTCGCTTTTCCCAGAACATTGAACGAGCGAGCGCCGAAGGCGCGAGGGAGCGAAAGGAACCTCTGGGCGCATCCACTGAGAATCTCACTTCCATGCCGTTTGATAGACATCGCCTTATTTGGAAAGTCGGTCAAACCGGTTTTCGCTAGCTGTGTAAGCTGATATCTGTCAAACTGGTGTTTACAACCGAGTATTAGCCATGTGCGTCCTTAGAAAATATGAAATCAGCGAATGTATTAATTCAAAAAACACAAACTAAAGTTATTAGACCTGATAATTATTGTAGAGTTTGCCGCTGCAGTCCTGCTGTTCTAGGAAGAGGGAAGTGTAATCTATTTAATGGTAAAACGACTGGTAAAACCACTACTTCTTCGACGATACACTCGCGAAGAAGTTAAGTAAAGTCTTGGGAATCCCTGTCACCAGAGTCGATGGAGTTTCCTCGATTATTTGCTACAGAAGCTCTCAGACTTGTTATTTCTGGAAATTTCTCTCTSTCAAAGTCTCGGCCAAAGCGATTGAAATCTCTAATAAAACTCTATCTTTCTCGTCCGCCATATTATTCACTTCTTCGTATAATGTTGTCTGGGCTAAACGTCACAGAACGTCACAAACTCGAAAAACCGGTTTGATCTTATTAGCCAATCAAAACGYTCTATCACACGTTAGCCAATCAGAAGGCTAGGGTCAGATTTTGACTCGGAAACACAATATAGGTCTCTGATTGGTTCGGCGGATTCAAAGGATTAACGCTTGCGCCCAGAGGTTATTTCTCCTTGCGACTACTCGTCAACACAGCACAGTAAATGCCGGAGCGAGAATGCAATAACCTCTGGGCCCCAGGGTAGTCCATACCTAAATTATAAGGAAAGTAGAAATTCGAATAGAGTCGCAGCTCTTTAAAAAATCATGTCCACCAACTACATGGAATGATGAATAATCGCCGGTTTAGGAGATTCCAACACGTGTCTCCATCTTAATCTTCATCACCAGTCTCAAACCTTATATTCAGTTCTATTGGAACCAAATCTTAATTTTATGTCCTAATGTATACGAGAGATCTAGTATCTTTTCGTATTGGGTGCGACTGGAAAGAGCCTAGCTATGCCATAGATTGGGATGTTTTACTCTGCATGGCTCACGGTGTGTGGACACTACAAAWGTTTTTATGAATTTCGAATCATTCTCAACACACTTCTAATTCGATCGCTTTTCACATAGTCTATTTTTGCTTCTGATTGTTGGTGTAAAGTTTATGGAAATATCTGATAAGATTCTCCTCTCGTTTTCTATTATCACGCCAAAACTCAAAATATTTGCTTTTAACTACCAATGACAAACAGGGAAWACTAATTCGTTTCTTTATGTTATATAGAGCTCTAAAGTTGGTCGAGTATGACTATATTCTAATAGACGATAGGCCATTCATAGACGGGTATACTTCTAAACAGATCTGTTTGGACGTCTTCGGTCGGTCTTTTGTTTTGGTTAAAGTGGCAAGAGCTCTTGACAAGCAGCAGTCCAAAACAGCGTCAAGTGTTTACTTGAACRAATTGAGAGTTGTCAACACCTTTTTGATTAAAGACCTTGTGTCCGAATTGCCTGACGTTGAACAACATATTAGTGAACTAAATACTTGAAATATACGCTGATTWCAATCCTGCGCATTCTCTATTTAAAGTCAAATAGTGCTTTGTAATACCAAGGCATTGAAAAGCACCCTAAAAGTCGTGCTTTAGTTTCTGCCCATATTTAAAGGCCAAATAGACACAGACTACCTTGCACAACCCACARTTGCACCGAATTTATAGGAACAAATCTACACACATCGMCAACTATTCCGGCCATGCGCCGCTCGGCAAGTCAGCGGATATAATGTATAAAATAAAAACTACAGGAAGCTCAAGCTCTCTCAGGCCCGGACTTAGAGAAACAAAACTTTTTGCTACGGTATTCCTGTGCTTTAATAGGTATCCTATTACAAATGATGGCAAACGAGAGCGGAGGATTCAAGCTTTATTTTGGTACCAAACATGCCGTATTTTCCGAATAATTTTCAAGGCTTTTACTTCACAAAGTGCCTATTCTTGAAGAAAGGATCTCACAAATACTCGTCTCAAATCGGAGCTTTTGAAAGTAAAAAAACGAAAAGTATAAATTCGTTTAATCGACCACAGATTCGACATCAGTAATTTAGAATGTGTGTATTTTAAAGATCGACCCCGGCAAATGAGGTAACTAGCTCTGATTTTGAGAAATGTTGTTTATAATATTTGACCTTTTGTGCTTTTCTTGGAATTTAACAAAGCACATACGGCAAGAAGGCTGTTAAAATCTAACTACCGGGGGGGAGGGGGGGGTTGGTGGGTACTACCACCCCAACTTGGGTAGGGGTGTGCCGCCAGGACCTCAAAACCCTGACCCTATCCCAGACCTAAAATTTTGATTTTTCATACCCTACCCCAGACTAAAACTAAGAATTGTACACCCTATCCCAGACTAAAAGACAGAAAATACGGTCTTACAAGCGATTGTAATCAATATTTACTAATGTTTTTATTGTTTTGTGCCGGCAGAAAGCGTAGCCTCTTCGCCAGACAAAAATGACCAAATCGTTAACCCTATCCCAGACTAAATTGATACCCTATCCCAGACAAAATGTCAAAAAATGATACCCTACCCCAGACCCAAAAGCTGAAAAACCATACCCTATAGGGCGGCACATACCCGTATAGCAAATATAGGGGAGTACCCCCCCGGGTCTRACTATCGAGACGAAAAGGTTTTTCCAAGCAAATTAAAGTATGTTTGGTAAAAATCAAATGCTTTAATGTTATATATTGATCTTCCGCCCCGGCAAGTGGAAAACTGTTTACACAGAAATTTATAAATCGAAAACTATCTTGACTCTCTATACATTTCTTTGTAAAATCTGACTTAACTCGCCTAACACTTTCAAGYGACACCGCTGCATTTGTACGCGGGCGCATGACCGGAATAGTTGGSGATGATCTCGATTTGGAAGTATAGTGAAGAAATGATAAATTTRGAAAAAAAATTGGAACCCACGACTTCGTACCCACGACCCACGACCATTAGGCAAACTCTGCTATGACTTATTTTTCTTCTAATCACTTCCGCTGGCGAATTTTTTCTCTCCAAAAGCTCGCGCGTAGGCTTCTATGAAATATTGATTACTGGCTCGAAAACAAGCTCGGGAAAYCAATTTTTCTTTCCAGATTTGGGATCAGCATTAAATTTCMATCCGGAAAATCGAAGTTTTAGAAAAAGTTTAAAATGTTTTCCAAAAGTAGGCAGTCAAGAGWGCGCCGGTCAACATTATCACCTTGTCTTGGGATTAGCCGTGTTGTGAAAAGCTCATTAGGTATGCAATAAAATAGATTTATTTTTCTGCGCCCCCTAGGACGCACCTGGCTTTTCCCTCTTTATTGCTTCCTTATTTAACTCTCAAGGATAGAGCTTAGGACTTCAGTATTCGTAGCGTACGTGATTTAATTTTGATATTGCAAATGGCAAGCTGAGCTATCGCAGCAGTATGATCATATTTTTGATGTGTAACAATGCACTTTTCATAATCCTTTAAATATCTCAGCTTGACAAATTTCATTCTAGTTGTGAAATACGTTATTTTTTGAAGTAGCTGCGATACAACAACATAGTAGTACAATATTAGAAAAAATAATGAAATAACAAAAAAAAAAAGGGGGGGATCTTATCGTCTATGTAAGTGTAAGAATTGAAATGTGATATGTATACTTAGCTTGTGGGCTCAGCGATTCACACATTTGGATCGGTGCCTTTTGACATAAGATTGGCACAAGTTAAGATCGATTTAGCAGAATCCTTTTTACTGGACTCCATCCAGCATGATGATGAATAAGTCTATGTATCTAGCCAACTGCGCTGTTTAGGAGTACGTACCAAACTACCCACATTTCTTCCTTTCATCCCAGATCCCCTATTTCTCCTAASGTCCACTTGAAACAACTGAAGCAAACCTAACACAGTTTCAAACGTTTACTGTTAACATACGTCGCAGCACGATAACCGACTAACTTGACTTGCCGCCAATATTCGACCAATAGACCTTATTCGTCTTGATGAAATGTTTTCTAATTAAGTACGCGCAACGCCAGCTAGAGAATAGATTTTTTTATTCGAGTTGTATCCATATGCATGTGACTTCTCAAGTACAGCTATTAAATAAGAAATGGTAATCTAGATCTTTAGAATGAGACGAGGTCTGCATCATTACGAATAAAGACCTATTTGCAAAAGACGAAAGCAGCAACGTCAACAACTACAGAGTAATTATATRCTATATATCTTCGAGCAAATTTTATAAGCTTAAAAAAATCAGCTTTTTTCTTTTGGAACCGGGTACCTACTTTAATGCGATTTTGCAAAACGTCACGGGATATATTAATACGTCCCTATGTGATTTGCTTGCCGCTTATTGCCACAGGTCGGGTCATGCGTCTTGTAAAACTAATATTGTTTACATTCCACGGGCCAGTTGGCTTCCTAGAAAGTAACAGAACCCAATATACTTAGAAACATTCAACATCGAACCAGCGCACTGGCACCAYGCTCATAGTTTTATCATTTTCTAACGATCATTTTAATCCTTAAATATTTCTCTACAATTTTCAGACTAATTGTTAAAGTTTATAATGAGTTTTACTAGGGTTACGCCAAAGRAAAGTCCTAGCAAACGACAAAACCTGACAACAGGATGCAACTTTCCATTAAGAACACGTTTGGTAGTAAAGTCTCACTATCAAAACGATTTAGCACTTGAGTCAGGGCGAGAAACAGCAGACACATCACAGTATCAACACCACCTTAACGTGGATGGCCTCTGTCAAAATACAATAGAAAACCTTGGCAAMAGTACTGTTGAAGAAGAGAAGATGGAAGGAAGGCAGCGTCGAGTTTTGTCATGTTCTGCGGTGTTAATGTTTGTGGTGTTTGTAGTTTCTCTCATCTCSTTGGTTCTTACGCTCCTAATGTTAACTGGTAATGTTAACCCAAGATGTAGCTGTGCCTCCGTCAAAGGTAAAATAACTGAAAATGTATCCTTACAATTAATTCTTTTGAAAAAACACATTTTTTATCCCTAAATGATTATGGTGTCTGCGCATGGCATATCGTCAAATGCCTACCACTCCCACTACTTTATTGATTATGAAGAAAAAAAACAATAATCGATCTTGTTAAGCAAGTGAAAGAGAACAGCAAAGAAATAAGTGATGATGATGGCTTTCTAATACTTATTATAAATGACTTCCCTAAAACGAAGTTAAAATGGGGTCATTTATTAATTGCTTTGTTCTTGCCGCCTGTTCTGCAATCACTTAATTTATACATCGAAGATAAATAGCGTGAAGACAGTTAAAATGTGCATATAGTAACTAATACTTAACTTAACTGGTGCAAAGAAATGTTTAAACACAGCGCTGTTATGTCTATAACTCTTTTTGTTTACTGGGTTCTATATCAATAATTTATGGAAGAAAAAATAAGTAGATGCTTGCCGGATAATTTTAGCAAAATTTTGCAAACTTTTGGTACACTTGCAATAGACTRWTTTGGTATCAAGTTGTCTTACCACYTTTAATTAGCCAATCAAWTGCTGTATCAGGAAGTACCATTCTCAAAGTTGTTTCAAGAGATGGTTTCCGGACCAGACAATAAAAGAGCCAATTTATTTAATGCTTTAACTTAAAAAGGGGAAAAAAAGAAAAAWRTTTCTTAAGCTGTAGTTCGGAAATATCCTGGATCTATTTACATAGTTCCATTTTGTCGTATTTGCAGCTCCTACAGTCGTATACTCATGCAAACATTTCATCCCTATTACAAGACTAGCAAGGCATTATCCAAGCCTTAATAGGAGATAGAGCATTTGCCATTGCAGCACCTAAGTTTGTGGAACTCTTTTTCTGGGGAGTTGCGTCGTATAAAAAGTATAGCTTCATTTAAATACGTGTCCAATTAAAGACGTATTTTTTCAAGCTAACTTATTCTTAGTCAATTACTGATTATTCATTATTATATCATTACTATTGTTATACCCTAGTTCATTTTACGCTGATGCTATCCTTTGTTTTAAATGTTAGCTAAGTTTAATATATTGTAATTTGTATTAAATAATACTATATGACTTAGTTTATATGTAGCATCTTATTATAAATGTAATGCGCGATAGATCATTCCTATGGATATTTCGCAGTATAAGTGATTAAATATTAT